ATAGATAGATAGATAGATAGATAGATAGATAGATAGATAGATAGATAGATAGATAGATAGATAGATATAGGACCTAGATTGTTGTTGGGGGCAATATGCTGACTCTGTAAACCGCTTAGAGAGGGCTGAAAGCCCTATGAAGCGGTATATAAGTCTAACTGCTATTGCTATTGCTATAGATAAGATAGAACCTGACTCTACTGATTTTTTTTTAAAGGCCCTGAAGTTATAATTTTGCTGTCTAGCTTTGGAGGCTGGGATCCAGCGGTCGTATGAGTTGGAGTTAGGATTAGAGTTCAATAGTTACAGTATATCAAATGCTGTAAATGCTAGTTCTCGACCCACACTAACTTATCTAAGGACCGTTCAAAGTTACAACAGCACTGGAAAAAAGGACTCATGACCATTTTTCACAATTATGTCCCTTGTAGCATCCCCATGATCGTGCAATCAAAATTCAGGTACTTGGCAACTGACTCTTATATATGAGGGTGGCAATGTCACACAGTCATGGGATCTCCTTTTGCAACCTTCCGACAAGCAAAGTCAATGGGGAAGCCAGATTTGCTTCAAAACCGTGTTACTAAGTTATCAACGGCAGCAATCTGCTTAATAACTGTGGCAAGAAAGGTCGTAAAAAGGGGGGGAACTCACTTAACAAAGGTTTCACTTAACAACAGAAATTTTGGGCTCAGTGTGGTCGTAAGTCGAGGAGTAGCCGTATTGCCCGCTGATCGCAATACTAGTGCAATTTTTGTTTTTAATATGGTAATATTTGATTTGCTTTTCCCTGCAGATTTCTTGCTATTTTTGATTTCGATTGTTGCAAGATGCCCGGCACTATGTATATAAATAGGGCAGCTGTACCAAAATAAATCAATCGCTAGAGTATAATCCTGGAAATTTAAAACAAATTGTTCATGGTCAGCCTCACTTCCCTTTGGCTCTGAAAGCACTGCCAACTTGCTAGTATGGAAATGTTTGGGGAATAGGACCAGGGAGTTGAGAATAGGGAAATTTGGAAGATCAACACTTCTAGTGGGTGCCAAATAGGAGAAAGTTGTTTTGCAATATGACTTAAACCTCGTAAGGGGTTTTTAAAAGGATGAAACTGATTAAACAAATTGCTGTCAAAATTGAATGCAACATTTCTTTTACTTTCTCATTGACTTGAATGCAGAAAGCAGGGGGGGGGGACCTGTCAATCACTATGTAGTCCAGGCCTTGAGTTAACAGGCATTTTGGAAGTGTTTCGTGGAAGATTTAAAGTAGTGTTTTAACTTGAAAGATGTTTTATTCTTTGACAGGCACATACACACCGAACGAACTGTCATCTGCTTGCATAATTGAAAACAGACTGTTTTGCTGGGTAGTGTACTAACTAGTAATAATTAATGTGCAGAACTAAATAACACGTACAGCCACATAAATAAAATGTTCCTTTGGACATTCTACTGGCATTTGATTCTGTGTAGCAGGAAATCTTTCTCATAACTTAAAAGCAAGCTTATAAAACAAAATTAAGCAGCTTATCATTTTATACAAAAATGTAGATCTCTCATTTCAACTGCCCTTTCCTTGTATGTTTTCAATGAATATTTACAATAGACAAATGACCTTTGAGAATAGATTATGTGCATCAGAAACATATCTCATACATACTAGTGGTTCCCCCCCCCCCCAGTTCCAACGAATGGGGGTATTCCTTAGCTAGCCATATAAGTAGACACATCAAGTTACACATAGTGTTCTAAATATTGAACACTATATTGGGTGAAATCCAGCAGGTTCTGATGGGAAATTTGTCTATTGTAAATATTCATTGAAAACATACAAGGAAAGGGCAGTTGAAATGAGAGATCTACATTTTTGTATAAAATGATAAGCTGCTTAATTTTG